GGGCAGTAGCAAGAAAGAAACTTGTTCGCGATTCTTAAGATAGTTTTTTAGTCCATATAAATTTTCCACTTCAGTGGAATAGTGACACGGGCAGCAGTTAGAAAACGGGATGCATAGAGTGGTCCAATAGAAGCAGAAAACATAGAAGTCGACTTCTGTCCTAATAAAGAGTCAAAAACAACAAAAGAGTGACCATCAGCTTGAAACAAGACAACAAAGTACCTGAAATGTGAAGCACTGGAAACAGAAAACAAGGTACAATTTTTAATGTTCTAATACACTTTTAAATCATAAGATATTATTAATAACAGCAATAAGAATGTGCCAAAAATCTGCACAGAGGAGCAAAAGTATATCCCTTTCTAAACATGTAGGTACTCTAGCAGCTCTAGGACTGATACTGCCCCATTTACAAGTTCCATTTTACACCAAAAATAAAACAAAAAAGATGCTGTTGGCTATATCCTTTGGATGATTTGCTTGTATCTTCAAAACACAAGAAGAAGATGCAAGTCATAGAAGTGCCAAATAATTGGATTTTAACCAATTCTCACTGAAAGACAACAACAAAAAGAAATCCAAGATTCGATTTGACTTCAAATCTATGTTTTGCATGTAATAAACCTCCACTACTGAAAGTGTCAAAATCAGAATTCAGAAATTGCTAGGTGTAGGTTCTACGACATTGTCATGTACCCTAATACTCATAAAAAAAAAGGGGGGCATGGACACAATTAGCGGTTCATCACTTGGACAAGTAATTCTGAGGCAGTTGGATGAGTTGGCAACTTGTAATGGAACTCTGCTTTTAACTTCTCCATGTCAGTCCATGGGTTTATGCAGGTCAAATCAACTCATTAAAGATATCAGCAGAAAGTTCAAGGAGTTGACACACATATTGGGCATTGGACTATGGAACAGAACATACTTGTTAATCAGACTGTATAGTTGGATCTAGCAAAAGATAATGCAATTTAGAAGAGTAAAGCCAAGCCAGCTTTATGACCTAAAACTATGAGTGCGTCCTCAAATGTTTTCATCTAAGCTAAAGAGGACATCTTTGGTCCTACTATTGTTGAATTATGATATACTCATAGTTTGACATATAACCCCGGCCATGCTTTAACCAGCTGCATCACTATTGTCTGAAACGGCCAACTCCTAAAGGATTTCAGAAAAAGGGCTGAAACTAGCATTTAATCTTTCAAAGAAACAATCATAAATAAAATAATCAATAAATGATATCAGATGCTTTGAGTAAGAGATGCAAATTTCATCTGGAAGATCTCTTTATTCCATGAAGAAATATTAAAAAATTTAAAAAATAAACGAACTTAAGAGGTTTCCATATACCATGTAAGTTTTAAAAGTGGAATAGTTAAGCTACACATCAAATACACCATGATTACAAGTACAGGTTTCCCTATTATGAGCAAGCAAAGTCAATGTACCTGAAAACATCAGTATTGTAAATGCTCCTTTTAATAGCCAGCTGAAAAATCCATGAGGCCCTGGCCCGGAGTTCAAAAGCCCATAACAGGTCTTCCAAAGCATTTACAAAATTTAATGCTGCTTTATCTTCTGCAACTTCAATTTTCTCCAGGTAGAGGTCTAAGTCCAACACCAGAGACTCTGACTTCTCTGTTAGAAGCCTGAATATATGAGACAGGCAGTTAGTTGAAGCGAGGAAATGGAATAATTAGCAACCCCACCCCTGAAAAGACACTCACAAAATAGAAGTTCCCTGAAAAGGGAAGAGAAAATTAAATTCAAATGGTACCTGATGGGAAGACTAAAACCAGCATCGGCCACAGCAGCTAAAAGAGTTTTGGCTTCAGTCGCATATTCACATAAACTAGCAGCCCGGATAAAGCAAGTCCATATCCTGTGATCTGGTTCTAGACCTTCCCCAAGCATCTCCTTAAGCTTCAAAAGCCCAGTACTGTAATCTCTGCTCTTGAGATAAGCATCAATAACAGAGCCATATTGTAGAGTACTGAGATTTACACCATTTGACTTTAGACTATTCAACACTTTCTCAGCTTCAATTGGATGGCCTGAAGTACCATACGAAGTCATCAGCAAATGCATTGTAGCACCAGATGGCTCCACCCCTGATTCCTTCATCTTGTCTATTAGCTTTTCAGCCTGAGAATGATTCCCAGAGCTTCTATACATTTTCATCATTAAGTGATAAAAAGAACGATCGAGGTTATGTTCTTCTGACCTCAGGCTTTCGAAGAGTTCCTCAGCTTGTTCCAGCATCAGCTCCTTACAAAATGCAGCAATCAGGCTTTTATAAGTGTCTCTCTTAGGAGACAGACCCAGCCTTTTCATCTCATGCAATAACATAAGAGCTTCATTTGGCCTACGATCTCGACAGTACATTATTATCAAAGTATTGTAAGTATCCACATCTGGTTTGAGTCCAGCTTCTTGAATTCTCTGGTATATGTGCACTGTCTTCTTGAAATCTTCAATTCTAGTATATAACTTGAGCATTGAATTCCATATTGAAAGATCTGGCTTGAATCCAGCTTCCTCCATCTCAGAAAGCATCGCTTCAGCGTCTCTCACTTGCTTAGTCCTGCACAATAACCCGATTATAACTCTATAAAGATGTATGGTAGGTAAATATCCAGCAGCTCTCATTCCGTGGTAAATTTTCTTCACTTCAAATATGTCACCAGCTTGTGCAAATGCCTCAAGCATCAAAAGAATGGAACTCTTACTAATCTTAAAACCCATATCTTGTAGTTCCTGAATCAGAACATACAGCTCGTTTAATCTACCATCAACAATTAACGCTTGCATGAGATTGTTGATGGTATCCACTGTAGGAGATGGACCATTTCTCATCATGGTATTGAAAACAGCTCTAGCTTTCTCATAAAACCCACTTAAAGCATAAGCTTGAATTAATGCATTCCAAGCCGTCCTCTCCACAACACCATACCGTTCTTCTAAAGTTGCTACAACACTCTCTGCCTTTTCAACTACTTTCAGCTTACCATACGCCTCAATAAGACTTACATGAATTGAGTTGTCCCCGAGGGGAATTCCATTTCCTTCCAACTGGTCAATCAAATAATGAGCTGTTTCTGGAAAACCCATCTTGCAATAAATGACAGCCATTATTCCGCAAATATCCCGAGAAGGTTCCACACCCCTGGCCCTCATATCAGAAAATATTTGAGAAGCTTCAGCAAACTGTTCAGCCTCCTCACAACACCTGATGAGGGACTCATACACGGCAAAACTGAAATTATATGAATCACTTTTACCTGTTTCGTGGTACTCATTCAAAGCAGCATCTAAATTTTGAGCTTTGCAGTTAATAATAATTGAGGCATCAGTTATAAGCTTCTTGGACCTGGAATCATGTTCCTTCACAAAATTTAGGAACTCTATAGCTTCTGAGATCTTCCCCGATGAACTGTATGAACCCAAAATAGACAACAGGTCATCATAATTATAGTTAGAACCCTCTTCAACAGCTAATCTCAACATATTGGCAGCAAAATCGTAGCATTCACTCTTAATAAGTAGAGATGAAATCGATTCTGGACTCAAATTACCCAATTCTTTCAAGTCCTTGATCACAATCTGGATATTTTCTTCTTCATTTCCTCTTCCAAGAGCTCGGAGCATAAATTCATATAGATCAAGATCAGGAGCAAATCCATTGCGCACCATTTCATGATACAACAGCATTGCTTTCTTGGTCTCACCAGACCTCAGATTCATGTCCAACACCACTGTGTATGCCAAGTGATCTGGCCTAATTCCAGAACGTACCATGCAGTCGAACATCTCTTCTGCTTCAACCCGCTTCCCTACTTTTGCATAACCACAAATCAAGGCACTGTAAGTTCTCACTGTTGGCTTTACCCCTGCATTTAGCATCTCAGACATCACTTTTGAAGCCTCTGCCATTTTACCGGCTTTCCCTAGTGAGTCAATAAGAACAGTATATGTAACTACATCAGGACTTCGACCGGAAGATATCATGTCCCTATAGACTTGCAATGCAAGGTCATGCCGACCATGTTTCCCGTGCATGTCAATGATGGTATTATACGTCATTTCATCCTCTCCGAATCCCATGTTCACCATCTCTTCACATATTTCTTTAACCTTCTCAATATTCCCTTGCTTTGCAAATGCATGGAGCAGTGAATTATACGTCACTGCATCTGGATAAAAGCCATTCGCCTCCAGTTCATTGAACAGCTTTGCAGCCTCACCATCCATTCCACATCTCCCAAAAACTGAAATCATAGCATTATACGTCCACAAATCAGGTTGACATCTATGACTTTCCATCTCATTAAAAACTTTTACAGCTTCCTCAACATTTAATTCGCGCGAGCAAGCACTAATCAGAGTGTTATAAGTTATTATGTCAGGTTGAATCCCCGAACTCCTTACTTCATTAAGAAGTTCAATTGCCAAGTTTGGTGTCATAGGGCCTGATTTCAGACGTGCATTAATCAAAGTATTAAAACTCACAAGATCAGGCTCAAACCCCCGCTCATGCATTAAATCAAGTAACTCCTGAACCCGGGAAAACCGCCCATTTCGCGCATAAACACCCATCATTGCATTATACACTTGAACTGTGTTCCCAACATTTTGTTCTGCCCTCATAAATATCTCCACGGCCAATGATTCCTGGTTGGCCTTGCCCAACACAGCAAGTATAGTTGCAAGCATTCGAGCATTCGGAGAATACCAATGTCGAAGATTGAGCCATTCGTACACCTCTAATGCCCTTTGCCAACTAGATTGACCAACCCATTTGACCACAAAGCAAAAATCAGTAGGGGTCATTTGCACCATCTTTTCATCAAGCACATCAGCTACAAACTCCTCAGGTTTTAGCTCCAATATCTTATCAGTTAAAAATTGTACCCTTTTACGCCAATCTTTAGCCCTTTTAAGTGCAAGTTTAGTCATTTTCTTAGCCTTAGTCCTACTGGGCCTACCCAATACCTCTTGGTTTTCATCATTTGAGTTCAAAGACTCCTCTTTTACATCACTTTCAGTACCAAATTCAACATCTTTAATGGAGGGAACGGGTACAGATAATTGGGAGGGCTGTGAATTTTGGTGGGTGTCAGTGAATTTAAGGTGGGGCCATCTAGCAGATGGAGAAGCTCTACTATAGGTGAATTTCTTGGGGGTATCTTGGTCATTAACAGAAGTAGTAGTAGTAGCAGAAGTCGAGGAATCTAGAGAGCAACAAATACAGTTTTTTCGTTGTACCTTTGATTTTGTTGTGGAGTTTAACTGTGGCGGAGGAATACTCAGCAGTGCCGTTGATGCCATTCCCTTAATATTATCTTGGGGTTCTGAAGGGTTCAAAGAGTGTTCACGCCATGGTAGGGATTTGATTGAATACAGAATGAAAGCTAGTGGAGAGCTTCTATCTACTTTTAAGTGTTTGTTGTTATGAATTGAGAAGATATTTGTTGTTTTTGGCGGGTTGTTTCCAATATATATCTCTCACTCGATACGGATGGGTTTATGATTTTCTGGAAAAGGGCCAAATTTGTCCAGTGCAATCGGCGGCTTGTAGTCTTAACCGTTGAAGTGCCAAGTGATAACTGCCCTTGTGCTTATGTTGTCCCATCCATAGCCCTCATCCAAGAGCAGGTAATGCCATAGCGCCAGAGGCGGATGTACTTAGATTAGGGGGTTATCGGCCTTCGGTAACTTCAAAAAATATATAGTACGTATTTATATATTAAATAATATGTATATATTTTTATTACCACATTAAGATTCAAAGCTTAGCATTTGCATTGGTCGATTTGGATTTTTGGGGACCGTTTTGTTTGAAGACAAGTTATGATGAGATTAATTATCATGTCCTCTCATTATTTTTTATTTACTGTTTGGTATATTGTTTAATCCTGAAATTGTTAATATTATTGCTTTATCCTGGGATATCTTATCCTAGTATTATTATTCCACCCTCTAACAGGTATATGTTATCTATTTTTAATCCTGGGATAACTAGGATTAGTAACCAAATAAGGGATAAGACCGTACTAAATTTTTATCCCAGAATTATTTTTGCTTATCCATCATACCAAACGACCCTTAGTGTTCTGCCATTGGTTCAATTTTCGCTATGGCATTTACTCAAATTTTTATTTGACAATGTTGTCCTAGCTATTTTCAAATCATAGGTCTACGTGCACAACACCAACACGCAACTAGAGCCAACGAGTACTTGCCCCGTAACGTGCCCCATGCGCTCATGCCTGCACTTAGCGCGCACTCAATGAAGCTAAAGACATGACATGGCCCCTCCAAGCATTGCACATCGGACATGCTTGCCTTCGCAACTCTGCCTTGCCATGAAGCTGAACAAGATGCTTGGAGTCCTGTATATAAGTTTACGTCCATTTCGATGCAAATTTTGTCTTACCTAACTTACTTTTATTATGTTCCATCACTTAGATTTTCTTAAGCATATACAAGGGAGTATAGTAGTTAGAAGTTTCAATAAACATTCAAATGATATCCGTTCAAATGTTTTCATCCCCTTAGCACCACGTTGACTTTATTATACAAGCGTTTTTTTTTTGAGAAACTGAAATATTTATTCATTATATAATAAGAAACTTCGAACATAGGATCTATTTGATCATTACAAACAGCTGAGATGTCATCCACGGCATTCAAATTTCCAAGTTTAGCCAACTTCCTACTGACACTTTCTAAATTGGCTTAACAAAAGATATCCTTTCCTTGTCCGCAAGCATCCTGGTCACAACAAAGGGAGGTGAAACTACAAAACACTTTGCTTTATTGAGATTGGACTACTTGGTTGTTTCCTTAGCCAAAACATAAGCTATTTCATTTCCTTGGCAGAAGTTATTGTTAGTATTCTGTATTCACAATCAGAAAATCAAAAGACGTTAGTTTAAGAAAACAAAAACAGAAAATTCCGAGCCTACAAGTTTCTTGTGTGTCTTTAAGGAATTTAATCCCCTCACAATTACCCAAGGTTTCGAATTAATTCCTCTCAGGATAGAACTAAATAACTATTCTGAGCGGCACTTTAAATCACAGAACTTCGGCGAACTCAAATGGCGGAGCAAATCATATAGAATGCTTACGTTTTTGCTTTGAAAACAATGCAGAATGCAGAAGATAGAGGGGAGAGATTTTCAGATTCGGTGGTGAAAAATGAGGTTGAGCCTCTCTATCTGTAGAGTCTCAACATGTGGGAAGGTGCCTGTTCATTTGAAGAGGTATCCATTCGACAGAAATTATTGGAATTTCTGCTAAACGGAATGGCTGGTCGCGAATTCGACCGTTGGGAAATAATGCTGCGAATTTAATACTTTTCCGCGCAAAAAGAAAATATTAAATGATGGAAATGGAAAATATATTTGGTAGAAAAAATTATCAATCAATCATATCAATTGACCAAATTCGAATCCAAATCTGAAGCCGAGCCGAGCGAGCGACGACGACGACGACGCGAGGCTTGCTCTCTTCTCAACTCTCTAAGAGCTAGAAGAAGTGCTTCTACATATAAGCACACGAATTTTGCTCTTCCTATCCAATGAGGGACAAAGTTCCTTTATAAGAGAGACTAATTCAAAATTTCATTTCTCTTAATTTTTTTTTTCACCATTTTTCATTCACACCTCCTTTTGTTTTCATTAATAAATCCCAATAATACCCCACATGAATGGGGAATGGCTATCCGAAAAAACATACATGAAAAAACCGTGTGATTCGACGACGACGACGACGTGAGGTTTGTTCTCTTCTCAATTCTTTAAGAGTTAGAAGAAGTGCTTCTACACATAAGCACAAGAATTTTCCTCTTTCTATCCAATGAGGGACAAAGTTCCTTTGTAAGAGGGACTAATTCAAATTTTTATTTCCCTCCATTTCTTTTTCTACCATTTTCCATTCACACCTCTTTTTGTTTTGTTTTGATTAATAAAACCCCCACATGAATGGGGAATGGCTATCCGAAAAAACATGCATGAAAAAACTGTATGATTCGCAAGTAAGGATTAATCGCATCTGGATAAGTAGGTTTCCTCTTGAACTTTCCGTAGTGAACACATGTCGGATATACTCGATCAATCGGTAGATTTGATATCTTTGAACCGTCGAACTTTGGTGTATACCTCGACAACCATACGTCACACAATCAACTCTTAACCATCTTTGGCACTCATTGTTCTGCTCGTTTCAGCCATGAACACCGCCTGGTTTCATAAGTGCGTAAAGAACTGGCCTTACAACATTCTCCTTGAAGCGGCTTATACTTCACACTTACATAGGTAATTCCTAAGCGTGTTATCCCATAGATACACTATTTGATATACCCCGTATCAAACTTAGAAACCATTAAAAAGCCTTGGCGTTTTATCCTTGGTACTGAACAATGTCTTCATCATGAGAATGAACCAAAATTTTATTTGACAATGTTGAACCGTCACTAATGACTTTGTTTGAGCTCCTTGAACCTAGATCTTGGGATCTTCAGTCTTCTAGGTAGAGTTATCGCCACAGTGACTTGTCCTCGGTCATAGTCCCATTCCCTTTGATGACTTCTCAACCGCCTCTATGGTTGGGCCTTTTGTAAGCAGATCCGATACATAGTCAATTGTGATAATTCCACTAGAGAATATTTATCTAACGGTATTATTCCTTCGTCGTATGTAACGAGATTTACCGTTATACATAATGCTCCCAGCCCTTCCTATTGCCACTTGACTGTTGCAATGTATGCATATAGGTGCCAAAGGTTTGGGACAAAATAGAATATTTTCCAAGAAATTCTGGAGCCATTCAGCTTCTTCACTGGCCTTGTCTAAAGCTAAAAACTCAGACTCTATTGTAGAGCGGGCGATACATGACTATTTGGACGACTTCCAAGACACTGCTCCTCCACCAATGGTAAAAACGTATCCACTTGTGTATTTTGATTCTGTTGATCCGGTGATGCAATTTGCATCACTATATCCCTCAATAACTGTGGGATAATTATTGTAATGCAATGCATAGTCTTGGGTATATTTCAAATACCCCAAAACTCGTTTCATTGATATCCAATGAGCTTGGTCGGGATTACTTGTATATCGACTAAGCTTACTTATCGCACAAGCTATATCAGGTTGTGTACAATTCATAATGTACATCAAACTTTCCAACACTCGAGCATATTCCAATTGAGACTTGCTTTGACCTTTATTCTTTACAAGAGTATGGTTTAAATCAATTGGCGTTCTTGCAACTTTAAAGTCCAAATATTTGAACTTTTCAAGTACCATTTTAATATAATGAGATTGAGACAAAGCTAGACCTGAGGAGTCTTAAGGATCTTAATTCCCAAAATTAAATCAGCAACTCCTAAGTCTTTCATATCAAACTTACTAGTAAGTGTGCGCTTAGTAGCATTTATGTTAGCAATGTCCTTACTCATTATCAACATATCATCCACATATAAACAAACAATGACTATTTGATTTGGAGTATTCTTAATGTAAACACATTTGTCACACTCATTGATCTTGAAACCATTTGACAATATTATTTGGTCAAATTTCGCATGCCATTATTTTGGTGCTTGTTTTAGTCCGTATAATTACTTAACACTTCTTTTCTTTTCCGGGAACTACGAACCCTTCAGGTTGTTCCATATAAATTTCTTCCTCCAAATCTCCATTTAAGAAGACTGTCTTCACATCCATCTGATGGATTTAAAGGCCATATACGGCGGCTAACGTTATTAACACCCGGATAGATGTAGTCCTTGTTACCGGCGAGTATGTGTCAAAGTAATCAAGACCTTCTCGTTGTCTAAATCCTTTAATAACTAATCTTGCCTTATATTTGTCAATAGTACCATCAGCTTTCATTTTCTTTTTAAAAATTCACTTAGAATCCAAAGGTTTCTTTCCTAGAGGAAGATCAACCAATTCCTAAGTATGATTACTTAATATGGATTCTATCTCACTATTGACTGCCTCTTTCCAATATTGTGCTTTTGAGGAAGACATTGCTTCTTTGAACGTTTGAGGCTCATTTTCCAACAAGAATGCTAGAATCTCTGGTCCAAAATAAGTAGATGTCTTTTGATGTTTACTACGTCTTCTATTTTCCTCATTAAAAATCGAGGCCATGAAAACTGAGGTCATGAAAAAAAAATCAAGGTCATAAAAAAAATCGATGCTGGAGAAAATCGAGGTAAAAAACTAAGGACCGAAGGCCGAAAGCAAAAAACCGAAGACCGAAGGCAGAAAACCGAAGGCCGAGGGCCTGTACAGAACTATAAGTTATAAAGCAGGGGACTTCTTCCCATTTTCCATTTTTGTCAAATTGGAGCTTGGGGAGAGGCGATTTTTGGGAGATTTTCAGAGAAAATATCGGGGTAAGTGTTCTTAACTCAATTATGGTTAGATTAACCGAATCCATCATTTGTTTTCACCCTTTAATTAGTGTTTTGAGATTGAAATTTTGAAAAATTTTAGAAATCTTATAGAAACTAATTTTTGAGATTTTGGTGTCGATTCGGTGTCGGATTTGAGTGAAACTAGTATGGTTGGACTCATAATTAAATGGGTTGTCGGATTTTGAGAGTTTCACTGCATTCTGAGACATGGGCCCCACGGGCGATTTTTGACCTAAAATTCTGATTTTTATGGAAAATTAGCATTT